AACGTAAAGATGAAGTTAGCAATATTTTATTTAATAACATATTACATTAGATTATTAATTAATTAATCACGTTTTATAATAACAAAAATAGTTTTGTTAATGAACTGAATGACAAACCAAATGGTTAAGATAAAAAAACACAAAATAACTTATTAAAAGTAACTATAGGGTATAAAGTGCTTTGACCCATCCTGAGCTTTTTCTAACCAAGAAGACACTTACGAGAATTACTAAAATGCAGTTTGCTTTTCCAACCTGATTGAGATTTTGACATAAAAATGTTTCATTGTTGTTAAATATTTGGGCATATATTTCATTCATCTTGTTTATTAAACACGTCCAAAAATTCCAGTCATCGATCAGTCATATGTAATGAAATCAACTGGTTCAATTAATTCTATGAGCAAAGAAAACTTATCACATCAATTTGGTTTTTAATTTGTATTTTGTGTTTATGGTCATTCGAATATTGAACTATTGAAGTGTATTTCAACATAAATAGTATCTTGGCTTTGATTGAAAATTTTTTATTTCTTTATAGTTGGCTGGATTCGCTATTGGTGGTCTTAGTGGTGGCGAATCAAAAGATGATTTTTGGCGTATTATTAAGCTATCAGCAGAGCATCTACCTCTTGACCGACCTCGTTATGTGATGGGAGTTGGGTTCCCTACTGATCTTGTTGTATGTATAGCATTAGGATGTGATATGTTTGATTGCGTTTATCCTACAAGAACAGGTCGATTTGGTAACGCTCTTGTTCCTTGGGGTCAGGTAAAATGATTGATTGGTTTTCTTTTTTGGACTACTAAATGTTTTATTTTGTCATGAAATAAAAGTGTATTCCATAACTAACATAAAGTGTCTATTGGTCCTTGTTTGGAACTTTGAATCATCTTCATATCATTCAAATAAAGCTAGCTATTCTATATTATTTTGATTTCTGGGATAGTATATCTAGTAAAAATTAAATGGTTATCAGAAGCGGTTACTACAGTAATGCAGCACCTTCTTCCCATAATTCTGTACAGGATGTTAAGTGGTAAAATCAGTGGCAGTACTGGATAGAGTTTTTTCCCATTTGAAAATAAATATAATATTTCTGATCTTCTAAAGCACTGGAAATACCACATTTTCTTTCTGTTCTCTGTTTTTAGTTAAATCTTCGTCAAGCTAAATATGCGACTGATTTTCGTCCTATCGATGAAAAATGTTCTTGTCCAACATGCTCTCGTCCTTTATCTCGAGCTTGGTTACACTCAGCATTATCTGGTCGACAAGTTAGTTCTTCTGCAATTATTAGTTTGCATAACTTAGCTTACATGTTGGGTCTCATGAAACAAATAAGAGAAGCGATAAGTGCCAATACTTTCCCTGAGTTTGTTCATTCCTTCTTCGAACGTCGCTGTTATAAAGGTAAAGAAAACGAAAGCCAAAGTGAATATGAAGGTTGTCGTCCTCCAACATGGGCATGTGATGCTCTCAAAAGTGTTGGTATAGACATATCTGATATTGGACGAAATCTAAATGGTGTCAACTGTTATGAAAATGGTAATGACGAAATAGAAAGTAAACGATCACGAAACAGTTCTCTTAATTGTGAATCTATTGAAAATTCCGATTAAAAAATAAATATTTTTGATATGAAATTTGTGTTTTCACTTTATCACCTGTGAATCTGTTTGTTAATTATGTAGTTAATGTATATTAACATATTACAATAATACTTTTTACCAGTCAGTCATTATCAAAACAGAACCTGGAACATCAGCACATCAAGAGAGAACTAGCAAAGTAAATTGCGAAGATAGTAGTATTATAAATGTCAGTAAAAAAGGCCAAACGTATATATGCCTCAGAAAGTAGAAATGAGAAAATCAAAAGGATGAAATAATATTGAAACTTAAAAGAGTTACGAAAGTGAACGCATCTGGCACCAAAGCGTCCGATTTTCGATCATATGATGCCTGTAGCTATAGATCAGGGCTCTCACGCGAGTATCTACTTATAATTCTTCACTTACCAATATCCTTCAAGGTAACAGTTTATGTCTTCAGGAACTGATACATGTAGATTTTTTCCTCACCTATTCTCGTATCAGGAAGTATGGTGTGACAAGGCAGACTATTTTGGCATATGTAACACATGTCATACCCACCGTAGTCGATGACAATTCGGTTTCACCAACTGATTTTTCATTTCTACCTATTACTCTCTGTCTAACCTAAACATTATTCACTATGTAGTTTCACAATATGCAACTAACCCTTAGAAGACACCGATGATCAAATACGTGAAGCTTGAGAAATTCTACTTTTGATAGGTCAGTTGTAAAATAAAACAATGAACTGCGGTACAGTGTCTTAACCCATTGGTTGGCACTTAGATATATCGTCTGTTCAGCGGGTTGATGAAAACCAATTGAACTTTGCCGCTATCGAGATTTCACCAGCCACTGTGTTAACTAGACGTTCAAAATAAGTGTATTCGACATTATCTACATTTGCACTCCTTATAGTTAAACAAAATCTTTATTTAAAATTCTCGTCAGTTTTACTATTAGGCTGAGAAATCATTAAAATATCATATAGGCATTTAAATAAATAAAAAATGTACCTTTTTATAAACATTCAATGACAAATATCATGGGACCTATCGATTAATGGAGTTACTACATAAGATTACAATTGGAGATGCGTAAATATGTTTCTTTCAAAACCTGATGCATGATGAAAGAGTTCGATTTTCTCTCCTTTGCTCTTTATGACCCCTGTGTTTCGGATGAGTATCGATGTTAATATCCTAAACGAAATATTATTCAGACTAATTACTCTATGAAGAATTCCCTTTCATTCATCATGCACTGGGACAATCAGCGACCGCAGCTTGTGTAATAAAAATTCGTCTCGATGACGAACTATACCTCGTGTCAAAAGCCAGTTTAAGCTGGACTCTTATCTTATACATAACGTACTTGGCATGGTGGCGAATCGATTGGTCAGGTTGTAATGATTTACCGACTGAGATGGTTGGGATATTTGTTATGTATGTTTGACCGTCACCTACTTCAACGAGCGATGCCTGTTAATGCAGAAGTGTGTTGGAAGAAAGAGGTGGTCTGACCAAAACCATACATCGGTCCATAAAGTATGAGCCGTGTTACTGAGGTTCACTTGATAACTTCAATCAGTCTTTGGATGCATTGAAAGACTGAGCTCAGAATCGTTCACTTTTTATCTTCCTCTCGATCTTCAAACCAGAGTCTCAAGGTTTATTCTTTCTTTCTTATGACTGCTATTATATTATTTAGATTTTTTTATTTTTATGTGGTGGTACTACTAATCAGATATCGCAACTTAGGACAACGAACATTTATTCCAGGCTCTATGTTGATTCTGTCTATCTGTCATTGACTATGTACTTTATTTTTGGCACAACTCTTTTCCAGAATGCAATATTGTCCTGAACTAATCGCTTTTTTAATTTCAGGAATATTTTTCATTGTATGGAACTGATATTCAGGAATTCTTCGCGTTTATTTGTATGCTTACTACTTTTTCGATTTTTTAATGCTTTATTAATACAAACATCTTATGTACCAGATGAATATTGGCAATCTATTGAAGTCGCACACAAATGGGTGTTTGGGTAAGCCCGAAATACAGCATGCTTAAAATTAGCTCCATTCTACTAGTTTAATTGTGCACATTTTTTATATTTGAAATCTGTAAGCTTCTATGAGCAACATAGATATTTGATGAATTCTTTATTCTGAGTACAGTAATAGATATTTGAAACATTCAAAAAAATTAATAATGTTAAAACACTAAGTAAAGCCTTGTCCTCACTAGGATAATTAAAATTTGCTGTATCTGATTTTTTTTTTAATGAAAATATATGTTTACTTTGAAGTAATTACTTAAAGCTGAGTGTTCTGAAGTCGTTTAGCCCAATAAACAGATTGGATTAAATAGAATATATCGTGAAACATTAAAAGGTTAGTAAGTTAAAATACAACTTCAAGAATTACAGAGCATAAACAGGAAAAGGTGTTGGTTAAAATTTTCATTACACTTGTTACTTTTAATCAGGATCATATGGCTCACTAATAAGCATTACTGTGGGATTTGGTTTATTGTGAAATTTTTATTCAGTTTGCTTTTTTCTTGATTGTATTTTTATCTGACTTGAAATATTTATGTACGGAGAGTTTTATAGTTAAGGGTTTCTTTCTGGAAATCCACCGAAAGGGTGTTCACATTTCACTAATTTTATGTTATCGATTGTCTTTATTAGTATTGAAGGGAGAGTATTGACAGCTTAGTTTAGAGTTTAACTAAATAATATGTTGCTTCAATCATCGTTCTCTAGACTACTAAGTTACTTAATGGGCACCACATGTTCATCTGAAAATGGACCCTCTAATCGATACTTGCATTTTACCAGGGTTTGTCTTTTTGAAGATGATGCTTAATACAAATTTACCTGGACAAAATTAGAAGTTCGGTAAATGTAGGTTATTTTATCGTTAACTAAATTGCTTGTATTAGTTATTTATTTCCTCCTTATGCAGATATGGAACACTCACTTGGGAATGGGAACCAAAAATCGCACTTCGGAGTCCTGTTCATCCACTTTTGATTAGCTTCATATATAAAATGATTGCAACTCTTGGTGCTGATTCACAGTGGATGATAATGAAATCACCTCAAATTCTGCATGGTTTTTTTGCAGCTATTGCTGATTTTCACTTGTACAAACTTATCAAACAGCTATCTGGATTTCAAATAGCCAAAGTATTTGTTTGCTTATTTGGATTGTATTTGTACTTATTTAACATTGAGTTTTTATAGGTTGTTTACACTAGTTTCCTATAGAATAGAATGATCATTATGATATTTCACGGTTCGTTTGGAGAAGAATGGGATTAAGACTTTGTTTTTGGAAGAATTGTGTCAAAATTCATATTCTATATAATTAGATTTGAAATCACAACTAGTGTTGTACAGTAATCCACATAGAAACCTTAGCAGAAAAGAAATACGGAACATAAAAATAGTATCCCCAACTAGAAGTATAATGCACTCAGAAACAGGTAAAAAATAATCATGTTTCCAGTAATTTCGGTGGATAAAAAGACTTAAGTATATTGCTACAAGCTATACTAGTTTCCTATTCATAACACTTATTCAGTATTTAACCACTTTGAAATTAACGCAGTTACCCATCGATGATAGGATATGGTGCCCGCGCTACATCTCGGATGGATTGAATTAAAGTGTAAACTGTATGGTTCCCGCTCGGTTATCTAGAATTAAAATCCTCCATGGTACTGCTGAGAGATAACAAACTAAGGAGAAACTGTGGTTTTCTGACAAATTTCAGTTGAGGATGAGTAATCTCTTCGAATTACTTAGTTTTTATCACACTGATTTCCCCCTCTTTACTTAAAGCTGTAATCCTGATCTTATTTTGATATGTGCTGCTCAAACATATTGATTGTCGAATGTGAAGAGCTTTCTAATATATATATATATATATATATATATAATTAGCATTTTGAATGTTTTTTGGCAAGTGAAGTATCTTAGGTTGCCATTATCTGTCAACAGTATGTTGAATGTAGGTTGTAGATAAGAAGTGTAGTTTCGTATTGTAAAACCTTAGAAGCTGTTGAATCGAGAACCGAAAAGCATTTTTACCTGATCAATTTACTTGTGCCATTAGTGCTCATTAGTCAGTTCTATCTTTCTGATTACAAACCATATTCAACGCTAAAGAATGTGTACAAATATTCAGTAGAAATGAGGTACATGATTTCCACTTACGTAAAATAAGTTGTCAACCTTTATGATTGACTTTTTAATGAAGTGTAAAACACATGTTTCGGAAATCTAGTTACGTAGTCAATACTAGAACGGTTGGTACTCTGAGTAATAAGTATTTAATTAAGTAAACCGTTGAAAAAGAAAGGAATTGTACATCACTAAAAAGTCTTCCCTCAGCAACCTCAATTCATAGTAAGCTTATACGATTCATCTCGCATGTACAAATACTTTAGAGTTTTGTATTTCTTAATTTATTGACTTATCCCCTTAATTATTTTTGCTTCGTTTTGATAAAACGATTACAGTGGACATTGTTTCATCATGTTTGTAACTGGTTTACTATATATTGTGCTCCACGAAGTCTATCAAACTGTGTTGAATGGTGTTTATGCATAATTGGTTTATCCTATTATCCATGGAATGTGGTATGCCAAACAGATCAACAGTTTATTCAACTAACCGCATCCAACTATCATAATCAGTCGAAATGGTTCATTTTTATTGCAGTAGTCTGTGTTCTAATACGTCCAACAGCTTTGATTATTTGGTTTCCTTTATGTTTTTGGCATATATGGCGAAAGTGTATGATAGCTAGTACACTAGATAAGGATAATAATCATGATCTTAAAGAATATCAAGAGTATTCTAGGTATGTACGGCTCAGTATGTAGTTTTAATTTGTTTCAATGATAAACTCTGACACGTTATGTCTTTACTACTACCATATTCACAAAGATTACTTGCTTACTTACGCCTGTTACTCCCAATGGAGCATAGGCCACCGACCAGCATTCTCCAACCCACTCTGTCCTGGGCCTTTTCTAGTTTTATCCAATTCTTGTTCAATTTTCTCATGTCTGTTTCCATTTCCCGGCGTAATGTGTTCTTCGGTCTTTCTCTCTTCCTTCGGTGTTGTATCGGAGAACCTTGCTTTTCCATTTGTGTATATTGAGACCTATTGCTGCTGAGGCTGCTGCCATACTGTTCGTCTTCTCCTGCATTTGTTGTTGCGTTTGGGATAGAAGGGCCAGATCATCTGCGAAGTCTAGACCGTCCAACTGCATCCTAGATGTCCATTGTATCCCGTGCTTCCCTTCAGATGTTGACGTCTTCATGATCCAGTCGATCACCAGGAGAAAGAGAAAGGGTGAGAGTAAGCAACCTTGTCTAACACCGGTCTTTACTTCGAACGACTTTGTCAACTGTCCTCTATGCACGATTTTGCAGTGTAATTCATCATATGAACTCTGTATGATATTGACTATCTTCTGAGGCACGCCGTAGTGTCGAAGAAGTTTCCATAGTGTTATTCTGTCCACGCTATCAAATGCCTTTTCGTAGTCAATGAAATTGATGTAGAGTGATGAATTCCATTCAATTGATTGTTCCACAATGATCCGTAGAGTTGCGATTTGGTCTGTACACGATCTATCCTTACGGAATCCTGCCTGTTGGTCACGAAGTTGGGCGTCTACGCAGTCCTTCATCCTGTTTAACAATACCCTGTTGAAGACTTTTCCCGGTATTGAGAGAAGAGTGATGCCCCTGTATTTATCACACTTGTTGAGATCGCCTTTCTTCGGTATTTTGATCAGTAGTCCTTCTTTCCAGTCTGTTGGTACTTGTTCCTCATCCCAAATCTTATTGAAGAGGATGTAGAGTATCCTTGCGGTTGCCGCTACGTCTGCTTTTAGTGCCTCTGCTGGAATGTTGTCCGGTCCTGCTGCTTTGCCACTCTTGATTTGTCTGATGGTCATGCTGATTCCTTTAATTGTTGGTGGGCCAACATCGATTGGGAGGTCTGTGGGTGCTGCTTCGATGTTGGGTGGGTTCAGTGGAGCTGGTCGATTCAAGAGTTCTTTGAAGTGTTCTACCCACCTGTTTTGTTGCTCTTCAATGTTGGTGATTACCTCGCCTTCCTTGCTTTTCACTGGTCGTTCTGCTTTGCGGCGATTTCCAGAGAGTTTCTTTGTCGTGTCATACAGTTGTCTCATGTTTCCTTCTCTTGCAGCCTTTTCCGCCGTCGTTGCTAAATCTTCCACATATTTACGTTTGTCGGTTCTGATGCTCCTTTTCACTTGTTTGTTTACTTCTGTGTATTCAGCTTGTGCCTTGGCTTTTTCTGCTCTTGTTCGGCTGGTATTGATTGCTGTCTTCTTGTTCCTTCTTTCTTGAATCTTATTCAGTGTATGAACAGTGATCCATTCCTTGTGATGGTGCTTCTTATGACCCAGGACCTCATGACATGTTGAAGTGATTGCCACTTTGATCCCCTTTTATTTGCTCTCCACAGTAGTTCCTTCTCCATTGAGTAGACCATGAAAGGCCTGGAACTTATTGCTGAGGACTATCTTGAATTTGTTGAGTTTGTTAGTATCTTGAAGAAAGGCCGTATTGAACTTTTGTGATATTGTCCGCCCCATTGTCCAGTACTTCTTGAGTTTAAATTTCATCTTGGCGACCAGCAAGTGATGATCTGATGCTATATCAGCTCCTCTCTTGGTTCTCACATCCTCCATCGTCCTCCCGAACTTTTTGATAATGTAGATATGGTCGATTTGGTTCTGTGTAGTGTGATCTGGTGGAGTCCATGTGGTTTTGTGTATGCGTTTATGTGGGAATATGGTGCCGCCTATGACCAGTTTATTGAAGGCACATAGGTTTGCAAATCTCTCACCATTTTCGTTTCTTTCTCCCAGTCCGTGTCGTCCCATGATGTATTCATATCCAGTGTTGTCCGTTCCAACCTTGGCATTAAAATCTCCCATCAGAATAATCAGGTCCTTTGTTGGGCACTTCTCGATGATTGACTGCAGCCTATTGTAGAATTGATCTTTAGCGTCTTCATTTTAATCTTTGGTAGGTGCATAGCATTGGATGATGTTCATTGAAATGCCCTCTTTCTTTGTTTTGAAGGAGGCTTTGATGATCCTTGGTCCATGAGATTCCCATCCTTTTATGCTTGTTTGGACAGCATCAATGCAACTCCTTGTGTATGTGGGGCATTTTTTTCTTTATGGCCGGAGTATAACAGAAGCTCCCCTGAAGCTTGTCGTTGTTGTCCAACTTGTGTCCAATGTGTTTCACTGATCCCAAGCACCTCTAGGTTGTATCTTCTCATTCCTGCAGCAATTTGGAAGGCTCTCCCGGTGTCCCACATTGTACGAACATTCCATGTACCTAAATAAATGGTTGCTCTGGTTGTCAGAAGGGGCGTCGGCCTCGTAACTTCCGAAGGAATTCGGTTTTCATCATGAGGCGTCATAGTTCTTCTAAATGAAAACCTTCTGACTCCCAGGGAAGAGTTTAAATAATTTTTTCTGGTTAGCGTTTTCTTAGCGAGTTAGTTTTCTACGGGATGGGAACGCTAATCCCATGCCCAACCCTCCTCCTTTATCCGGGCTTGGGACCGGCAGCAGCCCCCGGAGGGACTTCAGGTGGAGATTAATGGACTTAAATGATCCGTTTTACACATGTGGTGAAAATACAAGGTTTTAGTTTTCAATACAATATTTAACATTCAACAATGAATGTTTCATTAATGAATCAACTAGTTACTTGCATAACATATACAATTTTTGTTTCGTTCAACTACTTTTTTAACACAAATAGAGTTGTGTGCTAACGTTTAATGAATTGTTTTAAAGAAATCACTTGAATTATAGTGAGACAAGATAGTCTAGTTTTTTTTTATTCTGATAACCGTTTTATTTCGTTTTAAAATCCTTCCCAGTAAAAGCTATCATATTTGAAATTGGTTGATAAGGTCAGGAAGTGTTGAGTGGTGGTTTAGTATAACAATGACAGAAGAGGTTACTGGTACATATTGCCCGATTGATATCAATTTGTATTATAAACCTTTAAATTCATGTTCCTGTGACTCCACGCGATCGTTGTACATTGGGATGGTAGATGTGTTTATTGTTAAACCACTATAGTACATGTCGATCAGTAATTTTACTGAATCTCCCTGCAATACATACATTGATATATACACTAATATTCAGCAAATGCATTGAGTGACCGTTAAAGTATTTTACCTTTTCGAATTTTATATACGAATTGCACAAATTAACTAAGCCCCTCTATTCAGGATATTTTTTCTTCCTTATTTAAATGATTTTATTATACAGGACAAAATGGTTTCTAAACCATCTTATCTATCAGATTGGAATTTACTTAAGTATAATTGTGCCCTGTTTTGCTTTCTCTTGCGTTCTGGATCGTTTGACATATAATCAGTGGATAATCAACCAGTGGAATTTCATTAAGTTCAATATTTTTTTTGGAGGATCACGATTTTATGACGTCCAGCCTTGGCACTGGTACATATCCCAAGGATTTGCAGCTATGTTGTTAACGCAAACGCCTCTGGTGGTAACCTTTATTGTAATGTATTTTAAATATGGTCCAGGTTTTGTAAGAGATCTTACAGGAGAGAGAAAGAAGATAGACTATTCAAACAACTCTAGTAACCAGATGTTTCGTGATCCATGTGGTTTGTGTATTATTGTTATGATATGGACCATAATATGTTATAGGTAAGTTTAGATCATCTATTAATCACCTAACTAATTTGCCACTCGCTAAATTCCTACTAATTTTGTCACATTCTGTTTTATTAAGTACAGTGTCTTGGATATTGACATTATCTCTTGCTAGCTGTGTAGTTTATTGCACATCGCGTAATCTTGGATAATAAATAACCGCTTATCTGAATGAAAACGTGGGGCACGCATGATAACCGTGTTTCTGCCGAATGTAATTTTACTTGGGCTTAAAATATACTGGGTGGCACTAACTAATTTATCGTCCTCTAATCAGCATCAACAACTTATTTTGTCTTTTGTAGCTGTAGCAGTAAACATAATCAGTAACAAATCACCAGGTATTGAAGGTAACCAATTCCTGTGAAACCTCTTTCACTTTCAAAACGTTTAAAAGTATAATTTGAGAATGGGAAACATCTTCAGCTGTTGAAATCCACACGAAGATACACTATCATAATCATAAGTACTGACAATTGGAAAAAACTGGCCAGGGTGACGGTTAGCTATAAAGATCTAATGAAAAATTCTTAGCACTGAAAGTTAGTGGTGAATGAAAACATTGAATTAATGACGGTATATGTAATTCTCAGGAAACTTAACTACAGTAGTAAGTGATAAAATTACTCATAGGTTGAGTCAATACTATTCTGGGTCGCTCATGGACTACTATGTATTCAACTCACAAAAGGGCTTGGTGTGTGAATAATTTGTAATATGAAATTCCAGAATTCAGCATCTATTGTCAGTTCGGTTGATACCAAACGGAAATAGGTTAGTTATACATCCACTTTTCTCTGTCAATAAGTGGAGAATGCTAGCGCGTGGTCTCAGTTACTCTGTTGCCACAATGCCTTCTTAGTACTTAGTGTAAATATTTACTCGTTCATCTGGCTCTCTTTATCAACTCACCTTTGTGCATTTAAAGTTTTACGTTCCTAGTTGAAGGTAATTCTCTCTCTTTAATGTTCAGTTTCTTGCCGCACAAAGAATTCAGATTTATCTTCCCATCAATCCCGCTAGCTATGTATTTTTCTGGTATTATATCGGTGTGGTTCGTTCGTTACGGATTCAAACTAAAATTTCTACACAATCAGGTTATCCGACGCCAATATTTGGTGTCATTCATCATTTTGACACATATTCCATTGGCATTATATACATGCTTAGTACATCAGCGTGGTGGACTTGATTCAATAAAATTTTTGAACCAACAATTACTGAAAAATCAGCCTGGAAATGAGGTCGTAACTGCTCTGAACTTGATGCCGTGTCATACAGTCCCATCAGTAGGGTAAGTTATTTGGTTTTAAATATTGATACTATAAACAGTTCAGTAATTAATTTGTAATTAAGCTATTATTTGTTCACTCAACCATACACGCCAAAAAATTTTATCGTTGCATGTTGGAATAACTTCTAGTATTAACATAGCACAGTTAATAAATGTATATAAAATTAAACCAAACTTGTTCATATACAAATAGATATGCTAGAGTCACGCATATACCAGAACCTCATTCTATACAATAACGAAGTAACTGTAATCATCAAACCAGACTTCTACACTTATATTACTAAACTTCTGTAGAATCATTGAGTATAACAGTAATAAACAACTATTTTTAGTTTATTATTATGAAGGAACTCATTAAATGGTAATGTACAGACTTACTGATGCATAAATGCACTGATTTCTTCATTCCTTCTTTTCTTTTCAGATATTTACATCGAAACATTTCTTTTAAGCAACTGTCATGTAATCCAGATTTGACAAAACTGGTATCAGATAGTTATCAGTATAACGATGAGGCTGAGATGTTCTATGAAAACCCGAGATTGTGGTTGGAAAACTATTACATTTCGTTAGTGGATGGAGCGAATAGACATTTCCAAAAACCACAGTTTATATTTATGTTCGACCACCTGGTTAATACATACAAATATGTACAAACACTTTTAGTATCTTGGGACTATAAATTATGTAAAGAGCTGTTTTTCTCCCACATACTAACTCATTCTCGATATGGCCAAACCATACGTGTTTACTGTCTAGATTATATTTGAGTTCACTTTTTTAATAGGATTTCCCTTATTTTTGTTTAAAAACTAACCGGACGAAATAAATTGGAATATTAACGTATAAAACGACTAAATCCTACGTTATTCAGTTCAAGATACACTGGAGTATAATGAATTTCGGACTAAATTTCACAGCATAAGTATTAGCGAAGTATCTTATTACCAGTGATTCTCGTATAAAGTCAATTTATGAACGCGTCGTTTATAAGCTCTAATGAGTATTACACTTTAAAAGGTATTATGAAATTGGTCGATTTCTTAGCCATGAATAGTTATAATTTACTATAAAGTAACCCTAAGATAATTTCAGATGATAAGACTGAACGTAATCTAAAGTTTCTTTAACTAGAATTAAGATCAACAACAAGAAAGAAGTTATTAACTCTTTAGTCTATGCGAAAAGCTTCGCATGCAGTAACTAGGCGACTTTTTCTGTATGAATATGACTAGATTTAGTCAATCATAGGAAAGGTAGGACCTGGCATGTATGTACTTTAGTTCCGTTTGCGATATCACATTAGCACGTCGAGATGAGTTTATCAAAACAAACGCCAGAATGGTGGAAGAAGTAACAGTAGCAGTGGTAGTAAGAAAGATTAGGCATACAGGACATAATTTGAGAAATATGAATTCGTGAAATAGGAAAGCATTAGGTAATTTGAAACTCACGATCTATAGGATGACAGTGAATCCGTTGGTGTTACTGTAACCGACTCGAAACTACGTCACCCAATGTCTCTAAGTGATGGTTAAGCACCAGATGACCATCTTCTCGAAAAACTGTCAGTCAAACTTTCTTATGGTTATCACAAGAGGATTTTTGTCCTTATTGACTAGGATGGTCAGTAGTTAAAACCAGTCAAGTGGGATTATGTTTAGTTCCTAGATTCTAGCTAATATTTCAACCAATCTGAATGGTTAAACTGGACCATCATTCCTAAGGATCTTAATGGTTAATAAATCAGCTGCCCTCCGTCGCCTTATAATGACCACAACCTTTCCGACCTCACTAAATGTTACAAAGCTTATTTCAATTTCATAATAGTTAGAAACTTGAGAACAGTTTAAGTGTTCCTAAAAGAGTTCTGACCATCTTTCTAGTCGTCTGAGCTGAGAGTAAATCATGGTTACACGTTTTTTAGAAATAGTCCTACTAACAGCTGAATTTCTGATACCTTCTTTGGAAAGTTGTCTACTATTACCTACCACTGCTCTTTCTATCTCTCTTGCTTTCGCTTACAACCACTGGTCGCGATCGTTAGGTACACCTTTTATCAGTTTATGTTTAAATAGCCTTCGCTCCTCATTTTATTCGCAGCCTGATAGAATGTCTCTTAGCATCGACCAATTCAATTGACATCATTGGAATTCACTGACTTCTAATAATATTTTGGTTTAAGTCACTGATAGACATCACAGCTGTTCGGATACTATGCCAACCCACATTGAGGTGGACACCATTTCGATGGTTGTTGAATGACATCTCTAGTTCTTCCTGGAGTATTTCCTTGAGTTTTTATCAATAACTGGGCACTAAGGGATCTTCCTTCCATGGATTTTCTGCATCCAGTAAAACGCTAGTAGATATGTGCTCGCACAAGAGCGTGATTCGAGTTTAAACATGTGCTTCAGAAAGATCGACGATCCCATGTTGAGCCTCTGATGATAAACGAAGACGATATGGTTTATTTGAGTCCATCATTGAGTCGATTTTGAGGATCGCTATGCCAGACAAAATCTCTTATGGTTGGAGTTGCCATTTGCTATAGATAAACTATTTCCTGAGGATAGTAGCACTAGACGGCAGTCGTTGCCTATTTGTTGACCAGTACACCGTAGTACCCAACTAAGTACCTTTCAGTTGAATACAGACCACCTACTTATCCAATGAAACTACTGCATCTGAGTGTTTGTTTTTTTGAAGGACAGAAGAAGGCATTGTGTAAAAATTATTGTGAGTATGGGCAGAGACGACGAATAGGCAACAGTACGCTCTCCTCACCTTCTGAGTTCCTACAGTCTCGTTTAGTCGGACAGTGCACAAGCAACCGTCTAATATAATCCAACACGGAAAAGCCTGTTTTGGTTTTAAACTTGACTCTATGCTTACGTTAGGAAGGCCATGAGAAGTAGCGTTCAAGATCACAAATACAGGGTGGGTAAATTGTTCCGGTTTCTCAAATTGACGAGGCTAGGTCAAGCGAGCCACAAAACCTGAATATCGTATGGGAGTTTTGCAGATGTAACATATATCAATAGTTAATGAAGCCTGTTGTGGTTTGACGTTATGAATGAACAAACTCATTTGGTAGGTATTTGTGTACGAGCAACACTGATGGAAATGGCTCATGTTACTATCCGGTCGTCGAAACCGAAGGGGATTCGAGACTGTTACTGAAAGTCGAAGACCTCGACAGCTAGGCCAGCTTTTCTTGATTTGAGCTATAACATGGAGTTCATAGCATCGCTTTAAGATGTCATGGATATCAATTCTTGAACTTGAATCGTTAACATTAGAGTAAGACTTTTTATATGTGCAAAATGCCTTACAATCAAATGTCAACTTGCAAAGTCCATGTTATTTACAATAGAATTTGTAATCATTATGTTAATATTTAGCGGAAATTATTTGTTGCACTCCGACCTTTTTTTACGAAAACAAGATTTTTCTGCTGACGAATTCAAGAGCTCGTTGGAGTTTACTAAACATGTACCATTCAAATCTGCGTTATAACTGTCATCTGTTTTCTTCGCATTATTAAAAGTATCTCCATTGTCTATCAGTTGGGAAGTGATAATTTTAAATTGTGTGGGACCATCTGAATCGACATCCATAGATTCAATATCTTTGTTGACATCATCCGACAGCTGATTCTCTGTGCATTTAGAAAGTTTGCGGGCGAACCAAGCCTTTCGTTTGAGCTTCCGATACTTTTTCCTTCTTTCACGCTGCGCCTAAAACAGAGAAACATCTTGAGTTAGTAGAATTGGAGTTGTATACGAATAATACTAAGTGCATAAAGAGCAATTTTTCTCTAAAATACCTTTTTCTGTTCCTCAGTTTTGTCTGTATGTATCCCGTTTTTTTCAGCCCATATCCTCAAGTGTTCTTGGACAGTTTTTCCAAGATACTGACCATATGCTCCACATTTGAGTCGTTCATCTTCTATGACAGAGACACAAGGTTGTGAAGCAAAACCTTGCTGTTGGTAAATTGGATTGTGTTGGCGAAAACAGTCTGCACGACAAGCGAGGACTGATTTATCAGCAAGTAGACGAGCAGCACGACGATGAACTGTATCCCTCTGTACACGATTAGCACTCACAGCCTTCAACTCAGCTGCGGAAATACTAGAAGTTGCCGGTTGAAGATTGTCTGTAACTGTTGGTAATTTCGGATCTCCTAACACTTTAGTTGCGTTTGATAAAAGACCTGTAGATGTAGCCACAATAGCACCACCTTTCCTATAAATTCAGAAATACAGTTTGATATGTTTCATTTAAACAGTAATTCGACTCTCAAAAGTGAGTGATCACTACTTAAAGAATGGTGAAGCTGTGTACCTCACAATGAAAATTTGCGGATCAACTATCTCGACAAATATTTTCTATATTACGCATGAGAACTTTTGATTATTTAAATTAAGAATGTACCACCGGTGAAATTCTGGAAACATCGACAACTTAGTGGATCTTTAACTCGGAGATACTTTGTTTTTGGTTGCGTGAATGACATCGTTTAATGGGCGGTAACAGAAGTCCACTTAAACAATCGGCAGACCAGATATGATAAGGGTAGTGTTGACGCCAAATATATAAGGATAACTAAAACCAATAAGTGATTCCATCTTAAAACAGGCTTCGATTTTGTCACAGTAGTTTTGATGCTGCCCATGATTGTATAACCCTAAGACTAAGTTAAGAGCTGAGTAGTCACGATAGGGCGGGTAGCTGGGTCAAGTTGGCAACAACTGACATCACAAGAACCTGGATAGGGTCTTGGGATTATGTATCTCATTGGATACGGCTCAGAAGAGAAGCTTGCACACACTATTATATATATTTAATAGTATGTGCACTTTTGAGCATAAATTTCACTTTGATCTTATTTTTATTTGAAGCCAATCTCCTGATATTCCTACTCTTGTTGTGATTCTACGATTTTTACTCCTTAAATCTTCATAATATTACCACTTAGTTTATATTACGTTCCTTTGCCCTTTGTACAAAGCCTTTATATCATTATAATATTTGTTTATTTATTATTCAGTAACTCAGTCAATTAGAGTCCCAATACAACTAACCTGAATAATCCTTTTGATGCCCCTAAAGACAATAAACGTGTAGAAGGCATAGAAGCAAGTCGATTGAAAGAACCAGCATTAGCTATTAGACGTGCGGCAACCAAACAAGATGACAAATTATCCTTAGTCTTGGGAACCTTTCCTTGTTCTGCCTCATCACCTGAATGAAGTGTACAGTGAAGAAGAGCATGCAAATTAGGACACAAACTACTTATCCGTCGTGACAAGGAATCTACATACCGTTGTTTTACCTAAAACAAAAAGAAATAAGCGAAATGTTACTTTGGCTTTGATAAGGGAACGTTAGCGGACTTACTACGAGCTAGTAATGCCTTGTATTTTTTTTGGATAATACGCATCTCAAAGGACATTCCTGTTAGTTGTTCTAGCTTAATAATACTTTTTTTCAGCAGTAACAAAAACTTATAATCTCTTTAGAGCTATTCCACATCGAATGCCTTTACAACTATTACGACGATGAGTCTAAACAACAAGGTTTGAGATCTGATGTTGTATAAGGTATTCACTTATATACGCACAAAATATTATTGAATTGCATTACAAGCGGTGAACCCACCATACTCTCTGTACTTAATATTGAAGTTTGTTGCTTTGCTAGTTCATTCTTTATAAAAAATGCATAACATCTTAAAAGAGGTAACTTTGTAATACAATATTTTATCAAAATTGTTGCTAGTTTAAGTCATTCAAATCCAACAACTGGGGACAGTAATGGTCAGCAGAAGAGTGGAACCACATATATTGTTAAAACCAACCACAAACATGGGATCAGTCTATCATGATACAATAAGCTCTGAGTCATAACTGAAGGGGCAAAAAACTGGTTCGAGTCCTCGCGAAAACCATAAACTACATATGAAAACTTCAATTAGTCTCAACGATAAGGATGCGTTTTGTTTTTCATTTTAGTAGTGGGAATGAAATTATCTCGTACTTTACATTTTTCGATTTCAATTATTGTATTTGAACTTTAGTTCGTACATATCTTTTTTATTGCCGCTTCTCATTTTCATATTTATCTTACCGAGGTAAATTGTCCTAAGAATTATTTGTCCCACGTTTCTCGTTGTGACCAATTCATCAACCAACTAAATTTTGTATTTGAGAAGTGGAAGAAAGATACTAGGTTGTTGACTTAAGGTACATCTTGAGACTTTACTGCCATGGCCTATGACTGCCTGAGTATTCGTGGTTTACTAAAACAGAAATGCAATATATACTTTTTCTTATAACTACCTAATAGAATGAAGTGCTCAGGAATGTAATTTTTACGGTTCGGACTATGACTGTTAGCTTTTAACTCACAAATAAATGCAGGCACGAACAAAAATATGTTACCAAAAAACGGGTTTGTTTCTCCACTTTCAAAGTTTTTTGTTGCACTGTTTTATTCAAATAAATGAAAAACGACACAATGCATACCTCATTCATTTGCAATAAACGTTGTGCATATTTTTGAAGGTTTTCACAGTCTCCCTCACTTAGCTCAGCTCCAACAGAATCTTGAGCAGCAGTTGCAATGAGAGAAGCAAGTTTGTCACTACCGAAATACGTGAAACTTCCAGCAGCAAAGCTTGAAATTATAGAAGAACGAAGTGGGGAGTTGGCTATCAACTGGACCAGATTCGTATCGTTCAGACAAATTTGATTTTTAAAATGTGGTCGACACACCTCTGGAAAGTGTATACTGTAGCAAGCTCTTAACCGCGAAGCTGACTGTGTTAAGGAATTATCCAGTTCGTCGATCAGCATCAGTACTTTAACAATCCCAGTATCAGCTAGGTGATGTTCAATTCCCAGTTGTAGACGAGCACGTGCTAGGCTAACAACAACCCGTGCACGTGATTCAGCGACTAGTCCAGGTTTTAGTTCATCTGCGCTAGTTAAAGGTTTCAATTTTTCATCAATCATTGGTAAGGAGAGTGCAGCACCAGGTTGAGTGATCAGCGAACGTGTCAACCGGGTAAAACTTTGTCTTATTACCCGGAGAACCTCGTGAACAGATCCATGCCAAATGCATTCGAAGCCAAAATCACAAGCCCTTTAAATGTAGGAAGTAGTGATCTTAATGGGAATAAAGCATTTCAGTTAAGGTTAAGCTGTTTGAATGTACTTATCAATTACGCACAGGTTAACATCTAGAGTACCACAGACTAAACTAAGTCACCAAACTCCGGAAAATTTATGAAGCCAAAAACTAAATCATCTAATCAATAAATCTTCCATTTTGTATATAATAGTATGATAAATTGACCAACATCCTTTTGACAGTTCACAATCGTACGTGAGATCTGTTCTAATACGCAGGTTTGTAGTTCAGAATGATACAAGTAGTTTTGTGATGTCTTGTGAACAGAGAGGAACAAACAATTCTCATGTTAGACAACCATTCGCATGATTAATGTACGGCTACTGAAATGTGAATGTATGAATTGTACGAATTTGTTGTTGAATAAACATAATAAAAAGCTGACGAAAAACGAGGAGCAAAAGATGGAAAACTGCTATTTTGTCTGACGAGGCTAGTAACACCGCTTACTTTAATATGCAAAACTCAAGACACAGAATATACGGTTTCTAGTGTAAGCGAGCTTGTTAGTTGGTTAAGATAGGCTAAATTCAAGCTGATAAAACAAGAAGCTTCAAGGATAAAGGACTGCTGTTTATTTTATTTTTGCCACTAAGACCAAAGAAAATTCAGAAATATAACTCGTTAGGCTTTATAAGGAAGACGGAAGGGATTGTGTAAAATTTAGTGTGTGTCAGTCAGTTACAACGTGGAACTTCGTACATAAGTTCGAGTTGCCATACCACATTAGCACACAGATACAATTGTCGATTCAAATTCCATTGTGGTAAAGGTAGTAAGAGTACAAGCAGTAATCGGAAAGATTAGCATTTGAATATGTTATTCAATGAGTATAATCCAGTGAAATAAATTTGGAAAGAGAATAAAGGACATGAAGAATTCAGACTAGAATTCAGGAGAACACAAAGAGTAGATGCACTCGCGCCATTGCAAACGATTTTGAGCCATGTCATTCAACGTCTAACCATCGGTTGCTATCATCTCGCGGTCCCCAACCAGGTAGTCTACACATACCAACATGGCTCAGTCCACTTGTCAGTGACTTCATGGATTTGTACCATGTTTTGGCCGCCTACTCCTATACCACTGAACACCGCACGTCGAGGCAGTCGGTGGTTGGGCATACGTAACACGTGTCCCAGCTATCTCAACTGATAAAGTTTCACCACTTCATCAACTGATTTGCCATCCTTACCTAGTACCCATTTTCTAACAACTGTGTTGCTCATTCGATGGTCTCAGGACATAAGAGCAATGTTTCGAAGACACATGTGATCGAATACTAGTGTGAGTGTAGACAGACGACGAATAGGCAACAGCGCGCTCCTCTCTTTCTGAGTTCCTACAATCTTGTCTAGTTGGACAGTGCACAAGCAACCGTCTGTTATAATTCAACACAGAAGAGACATGCATAACCCTTTAGAATAACATTGCAACACCATACTCAGAACTTATGTTGTTTTGTAGTATTAACATTTTCTATTGACCTGGCTCGTATAGTAGGAGCTAACGGAACACTTGTTTCTACCGATATAGCTGAGCTGTATGATTTCAGAAAACCCGATTAACACATCTATATAAGAGCTACGGTTGGAATCCTAGTATATCATTTTTAATATTATTGTCATTTTCATCTATCGTTTATTATTTTTTCTTCTGTGATAAGAATGTTCTTCTCACGCCTTATGTACATCTGAAGTGCCACAGTATTATATTTAAATTTTCATCCAAATGTAAGTAAACTTTCGGTAACTTAGAACGAACTAGTTTATTGCACAATTTAACACTAGTTCCGTGACTTATATGAAGAAAAAGACATCTCATTTGGATCAGTAACGATAATCTGCAACACCATATGATGGACGAAATACATTTTGATATTAGGATATCGGGAAATGATTTAATTACCACACAAAAACAACAATAACATTGTTGTAGTTCTTAAGTGTTTCTTGGTCAGGTTTTCGAGCATTGATTGAGATATTTTAAATTATGTATTTGATGTACTACAGTCAATAAATATAGGATTAAAAGGTTATTAAATAATGGGTGTTGAAACTGGGATGAAGGGCAGGAAAAGGATGGAATTTCTTAGATTGACACTAGAACGAAATGTTTAGAAAGGTTTCGTAAAAGAGCTTCACAATCAGAACAGTGTCTCCAATATCAAATTACAATTTTAACCTTAATTTAAATGTTTACCATATTCAGTCACTTCTGTTTTAGCTATTTCTTATATTCGTATAACATCTACTTAGGTCGTACATTTTGCGAGTCCTTACACTACTTGGAAAAACGCTACGATGCACATATGCGTTGGTCCGAGTTACTATATTATATTGACAAAGAAAACAAGTTAACAATAACAGGGAGTCAAAGTAATCGGTATCCAACCTTGTTGAAAAGATTACCGGTTACTTATGAATTTAAATAAGATACATCCACCTAACACTTCCACACTTGTACAAGGGGACTAAGACAATTTCACCATACACCTTATTTAATAAGTATCAATTATTCACAAAGCCTAAATTAACGAATATTTAGAGAACTCACAGTATAGATTTGCCCAATTTTTCGTCACTGACTCCCAACACACAGTCGACCGTCGGCACATTTCTCCTTAGAAACTGCCTGAGCAATTCAGAGAGGTTTCCGCTAACGATAGCTTGAACATTTTCTACAGCCTCCTGGACAGCCTTAAAATGGACAAAAGCGACCGGTTTGATGAAAGCATTGGGAAGAGCTTTAAAACTACTAGTTATTTCGTCAAATTCCTTCACTCGAAATAACCCAAACCCCGTTATGTGCTCGAACAGAAAAAGATGCTGAACGGTCTAAGATAAGGGATTAAAATAACAAATGTACACAACCCACTCCCATGTTTAACGACTACAAACCTAGCGCCTAATATGTAGGTCAAGTATAAGTGCATTCACGACAAATAAAAACACACATAGTGTAGAAAGATTAACGTACTAGAAATGATTAATAAATTTCGTGTCTTTATTGTTATTCAGCCTCAAACTAATAATTTTTACTTGAGTAAGGAGGTTACAAAACGTTAATAAAAACTTTATGATGTTCAACTCATCAGTCTCAACTAGTTAGGAGCTGTTTTTTATATTTTAGCTTAGACTGCAGAGTCTTTTAAGATTATGGTTAAAATGTTATGCTTTTGATGTGTCTTATCCTCACAAGAGTCAACCACAATGTAGGCAGTAACATGAAATTACTGTTCTCGGGCACTTTTGATTCAGCTTGGTTAATCATTTAGTCGCACTGACCTGCTTGTAATATAAATAAAAATTCCAAGTTAAAACTCATTTCTATGAATCCTGTACACTAGGATTTAGTCATTTATTTGAGTTAAAGAGACCCGTATTCTAAAATCATTTACCTTACTTGACGCATCGCACGAACATAAACCCCTTGTACTCTTCCGAAATGTCATACTATTTACTTCTACCTCACAATCACTACTGATAAACACACATTATTTTAGTACCTTTCCTTTCACGCTGACGATGTCAAGATATGGAGAGCAGTAAAAAATAGAGGTGATAGTTTCAGGCCTAAAAATGGCCTGAATAAATTTTCTGAATGGTCTAAAGTTTGGTAGTTGTTGATGAATACTTCCAAGTGTATTGTGATGTCTATTGATCATAAAGGCACATATCTATTTACGATAAATAACAGTAAACTGTCTGTTGTCCAGACACACAACGACGTAGGGGTCATCGTTAGTCAAGACTTAAAAACTACTGCACACTGCCGAGAGATAACCGACAAAGATTTCATAAGCTTATGGTCAATACGTGGGACATTTGGCCACATCGATGTTGAAAGCTTTCTGACTTTTTATAGTGTTAGTTTATCCTAAATTCAAAAACCATTCACAAGCGGCGAGCCCATGACGAGAAAGGGAAAGTGAACCGTTCGAAGAGGTTTAAAACCCCGCGACTAATTTGATTCCCAGAACAGTAAAGCTCCCGTATAATGCTCTGCTGGCTGAACTAAACCTTTTTCATTGTCATATAGAAGAACCGATGGCGACTTTGTCAAAGTTTTGGAATTACTTAGTGATAAACTTTCATGTGATATGTTCTCACCTTTTCTTGTTTTTCAAAACAAAGAACCTCCAAAGACACTCTGAAAATGCTCACAATCTGAGAGAAAATTATTTGTCATCTGACTATCGACTTTCCCCACGAATCATCGACGAATGGAATTCATTACCCTAACAAGCGATTTAAGCTCCATCCGTCGACACTTTCAAAAGAAAGTTGGATCGGTTGAGACCACCATTGCCAGGACTAAAACAGGCCACCTAGTCTCCCATCTTTTTTAATATGAAACGTAAACGGAGCCTGAGTAACACGATGCCAACTAGCAGGCAACATTAGATTATCGCAAATGTTGGTTTATTTATTACCTTAAACTCGTCCGTTCATTTTATTCGGAGTGCAATAACGACATTTTTGCCGCTGAAGCCGGATGAAAAAACCTTAATGCATGAATATTTGGCTATTGAAATGAAACTGAATCGTACGGTGCAAAAGATGGCTCATCGAATGAATACCACCTTCAAAGATTGACTATTGGTGTTATGTACTGCAGGAGTCTCATAGTTTGTAAAAAAAACAATATTTCGCATATTTTCTTCTTTCTATAGCCTGTAGTGTTAGTCATTAGTTTTAGTCCACAATATATCTTATTCTAGTTTCCGGACATTCCATTCAATTCGTCCTACTTGAGTCATGTTTTGACCTTGTTAATTATTCGCTTATTAGCCTTGACTGTTTTCATATGAGCGTATATGTGTGTACACTTCATGTCCCATGACTCATCACATGTCTGTAGTTTATTTTGTCTGCCTATAAATATTGAGTAATGCCCGGCTCGAAATGGAGTTGGCTTCCCACCCATCTTCCATACGCTCTAAAATGGATTCAGATCAACGGGCCACTAAAGTGGTGAGCCCTTCAACGAATATCGTCGATCCAAATGGGGACGAAATCAAACTACGGGCCTCCACATAAGTGGTAAGCCCGCCGACGACGAACGCAACGCAGCAAGCTACGTCGATGAAGGAACTTCTGCACTCTATACTTTCGACGAACAAATTCAGCGAAGCCAGCGCAATATCCAATCCGATGCAATCAGCAAAGCCTGTGCATCATGGTATGGACATGCTCAAGTCGTATTATCTTATCGATACTTTGTACTCATGTCAACCATTCTCATTGATCTATTCGTCGGTTTGTTCAATTACGATTCAAATTATCATTATATGCTTATTATTACATTATTATCAATATCATGACCGAATGTGGAATTATTAATCTTGTTCGTGCTGTCACTAAATTGACATTTTCGCAATCATATCACTCACCGAACAAATTATCATTTTATGAAAATTCCACTCTACGTAATGACATCTAAAACTCATTGGAATATTTCTATTCAAAAACGTGAAATTTTCCTGCTTTAAGTGAGTTCGTTCCAATTTTTCATGTCATTTTGATCTAATATTGCATTCATTCACTTAGTCGAGGTCAGCAATTTATGTTATCACAACATACATTTTTCATTTCGAAGTCGCCTCCCATTATGTCTGTGGATGCCTCTAACTAGCTGATTAGTAACCATTACGTTCATTTTATCTATTCTTCCACGTGCATAACTACATTCTGCATCACTTATCACTCGAAAACGCTACTCGAGTACTGCAACTCCTTTGTATTCTATTCTATTCCATTCCCATCGCACTGTATATCAGAACATAGAGTTTAGAGCTAGTCTCTCAAAGATACACTCTTGTTCGTTACATTCAAGTCAGTCTCATACGTCGCCATCGCTAACCATATGTATTGGTATTTTTGTCATGCCTTGGTACGGTTTTGCAACAAACGAGATCGAGCGCATCTCCCTCAAACCACACAAACCACTCTAGGCTTCATGACCAAAAAGGAATTCGACTCTATGTACCTCGTCTACTCAGTCACTATTCTGTTTCTCTGGTCATTCTACTAATACATATTCAACGATAATTCGGTGCATTTGTCATAACGCAGACGACAACATCCACTGACTTCAAATTTTATGATTATTATCAATTGCAGTACAGCAACGAATATCACTCGTCGATGCAGTTACCATTTCATGACTTAACTATTATCATCCTCCGAACGGGAGTTACGCATTTAAATTCGAATTCACTCATCGCTAGTCGATGCTATTTATTCTGCTGCGGCTCAACAGAACATATATTCAACGTATTTCACTATTTCGTCAGCATCACAGACCAATTTCTGTCATATTCTACTATACTCATTTTAACGATTTATTTCCCTGTCATACCCACAAACAATTTGTTACTATTTTCACGATAATTTGAATCACTCATACAAACGTGTTATTTTATCGTTCAGACAGTCATAGCATTAGTACATGTTAATTTTTTGTACGCTCATTAATTTGCTCATATTCGCGTGCTAAGGTTTCCATTTTTGTCCGCGTCTTTTCTATATTCATGTATTCTTTTGCATAAGTATGACATTTTCATATAATACACTAACCCCTTATGTGACACTGTACTTTATCGAGTGTTGTACAATTTTTTTTGGCTACTTATTGTTAACGTTAGCTTCATATCACTTCAGTGTTATTTTCGAAAACAGACATTTTTCAAATGTGCTATTTTCTACGAGGGGGCTATGTAGTGTTAGTCACTAGTTTTAGTCCATAATATATCTTATTCTAGTTTCCGGACATTCCATTCAATTCGTCCTACTTGAGTCATGTTTTGACCTTGTTAATTATTCGCTTATTAGCCTTGGCTGTTTTCATATGAGCGTATGTGTGTGTACACTTCATGTCCCATGACTCATCACATGTCTGTAGTTTATTTTGTCTGCCTATAAATATCGAGTAATGCCCGGCTTGAATTGGAGTTGGCTTCCCAGCCATCTTCCATACGCTCTAAAATGGATTCAGATCAACGGGCCACTAAAAGCCTCCAATTAGGTGCCATAATTATTTTTTTCGTTCATGGGACTTATATCGTGAGTACGAAGTAAGGATAAACTTGGAATCATGTTCTGATTACGTAATTCAGATATTGTATTGTGATAATATATTCAATGTTGACTAATGTGACAATCTGAGCATTTTTTCTTTCATTTTTGATTATTCAGATAAAAGTGACAAGACTACTGATTCCGAGTGTCATGAAGCTGCGTTGACTAAATATTTAAAACGTTTTTAAACTTCAGTGAGACTCAGGAGTCTGAGATAACCATTAAGCTTGTAGTCTATCAAACTTTCAAAGCTGTGGTTGTAAGATCCTTTCGGAAGGTTCTGTGAATGAGAATCCTTCCCCGTACACACTGGCATGATTCATTCTTTCTGATTCCTTCAGGTGTAAGTCTCTTCAATCTTTTGATTCCATTTGAGGTCTTATTGTGGTGTGAGCTACTTATATTCATATAAGTAGTATATAACGTGCGTTAAATAAACGTAAGGTCCGGCAGCAGAAGATGGCGAAGATCAAGAAAGGAAGAGCATGAGCACAATGGAATTGTAAGAAAACACATGTACAATGGAATGGGAGACAATGGATTAGTGTTTGCAACGGGAACAGTACAGTTTCATATGATGGAATGATATTTTGCAAATTGACGATTGACTTTATGGTATTCACATTTTATTGAGATAGTCTGTAATCTTTGTGCTAAATACAATCGATTGTCCCCACCCGTGTTCTTGTTCACTACATTTGGCTGTCCTCACCCGTGTTCTTCGTCACTACATTATAACATGTTTAATTATGGTAATTGTTTTTCCTATGTCTTTACCGAGTTTAAATTTTTTGAACTACATGTATGACTATGACGGCTGCCATATTGATTCCGTTA